AGCTAGTACAAGATAGTTAAAATACTTTAACGTCTATTAAAGACTTGACATTTTTTTGGTACTTTAAAAAATTGATGCCGTGCCTGTCAGTGATTAGCGGTCCTGACTTAGGCCAGAGGCGGTGAGTTCGATTCAGAACCAGGACAAAATATTTGTGATGAGTTTGAATATTCTGATATTCTGTCTGGGTTTGAATATAATATGTATAGGCCCCTATTAGGTAAGTGGAACTAAAAAAATTAACGCCAGCAAAAATGGGAGCGTAAATACTGCTCTGTTTACCTCTTCCGGGATATAAGGACATAATTATATGTGTGTATATGTATGCATAAAGTGGTTTTTATGGCATTAAAACAATATAACTGTCTATTACTTCTAGTTGATATTATAAGTAGGAGTTTTGGAAGATATGACTTATATTTGATAAAATATTTTCAAAGGCAACATCCGTAATTTATAATGCACTTTTTTTTTGTGCGGAAATTCCCTTTGGATACCACCTATCAGTGGCATGTCGGACTCGAACCGACTAAAACCGCACACCGTGTCGGGTACTAATAGCCGGGGAACCAGGTATACCCTAGAAAGGAAGTCCCTGGTGCGATTTATAATGCACTGGATACAGGAAGTGTTGGTTGCCTTTAAGATGTCTTCATCTTGTCTATGTTTCACCAAAACTAACAATTTGATACATCCATTGATACCAGTCTTTGGGCAAGGAGATTCATATATCTCTTACTGTTTCCCTTCTTTTGTGACATAGATTAACACTTACTAGTTTGAGCAACAAGAAACTGGAGCCATAATCCTCTAACAGTATTCAAAGTAGGGTTCATATCTTAAGTGTTCAAAACCTTTCAAAGATTAAGTTACCTGAACCAAATAAAATCTAGCATTTCTATTTTTTATTTTTATTTTTATTAAAAAGACAACTCCCGCATTAGGAATATATCCTGTGTCCCCCACTTTACAAACATACATGAAATGGACACAAAGAACACCCAGACTTAGAACAACAATTTGTGGATCACACAAAGTGTCGTCCCATGTGGGGTTTGAACCCACAACACTCGGCGCAGTAGGAAGCGGTGTGACGACCGCTTAAACCACTGCGCCATCCGTGCAGTCAATGTCTATGTACCAAGTTATTTAAGTTTAATAAGAATTAAGACTATCACAGTTACCATAAAGTTGGTTATCAGCCCTTTAGTGTGAACTGATCATTAAATTTGAAAAAGTATTAGATATTAGGTATAAGAGAAGGATAACTTGAAACAAACCCTATACCAACCCGTCTGTCCAGCGTGGTATAGTAGGCCAAAACCTCCTTTCTAAGGAGAGGCCAATATCCAGCAGTGGACTGTTAAAGACTGTGGATGATGATGATTAGGTATTCACAATGGAGATTACTCAGAATAGAACTTGACACAATTAAAATATAGAAATCAAATGATATTAAATCAATTATTGTCTAAAGAGGCCTAAAGTCAATTGGCTTAAGGTCAATTCATTTTGCTAAAAGAGTTGCCACAAACTAAACAAGATTTAATTTTTATAAATGTTCCATAATCAAAAATTTATATGCCTCTGGAATAATTTATATTTATGCAAGTTGATCATTAAGCACATGATAAGAGTCAAGCAATTGACTCTTGATACCAATTAATAGTTGCAATATTAGTAATCCTAATAACTTGAGTGAAGAAGGCCATCACTGGTATGTCCACACATAGTCATGTCAAGAAAAGAGTTTAGAAGATTACGTTAGCAAAAAGTATTGGCACCAACAAAATTGTCTGTTTTTTTTTTTATATGAGACTACTGCCGCCCATGAACGCCTGCAACTCAGGACCCCAAACACGTTACCAGCCTATATATTACTGTATAGTGTATTGTGATCACAGAGATACTTAATTTTTGTCACTATGTAAGTGAACTGTATTGTTCTTTTCTGAAAAAAATATTTTTTAAACCAAACTTGAACTAGGCAGAGCCTGTACTATGGTAATCAGACTGCTGATAATCATACTTATATATTTCTATGTCCATGTACATTCTATATATATTACACCGATATACAGAAATAATTGTTGTTCTCATTATAAAATTGTGTGAAAGAATCAAAATCCAAAACTGACTAACTGCTAAATCAACAGACAAGTCTATTAGTAGTGTTAATCATAGACTAATGACAACTCAATAATATAAAAAATTGCTATGAACAGCCAGTCAGCTCTACATACTTCTCTAGGTTAGACGCAACTTTCCTGGTTGCCACACTCTAAAAAAAAATATACTCCCATGACCACTAATAAATATAAGTTGTACTAAGAAAGCCAGCAACATATGTACATTGTCAACACACAAACATCACATTCATAGTATTAATTAGTCACAAACAACATATAGATAATATTAGGCAAACGCAAAAGCTACCTTAAATCTATATAATTAAATGCTATGGCAAGATAAAACCAATGCAATTTGAGCATAGACAATAGTGCAGATAAGGTATGGACAGTACAATGTCAGCCTTATGATTATATGATTCATAGTCAGATAATGGCATGCCTAAATAATTTGTTGTGACCGAAAAAACTTTGTAGTATTCCATGATGTGCTCACTTTATATGTCTGTTGTCATTTTATTTCAATACGGTTTCATAAATTAGCTAATTATGCAAAAGCTATTAAAAAATTAAATATTTTAAAGTAACATTTACTGATATGAATAAAATTAATATTTACTTTTCAGCACTAAATTTTTTTTTGTATCAAACCTTACTGATATACCTAATAAATAGATTTAATTTTAACAATTTCTGTTATACTATACAAGTTTATCACGTATCTAAAAAGTTTAGCGGCAGTTTACTATTAAAAACTTGACTGCTTAAAGCAAGACTCACTTTGCGAGTAGTAGTTTTTATGAGAATTAAAGCACACACTCAAATACTAGAAGGAGTTGTCAACAATTTTGTTTTTGGACAGTATTGGAGTAAACATGCAATATGACATATGAGAATACTTGTTTTGGAACTTTTAAAACTAATATATTATTACAGACTCAAATAGAATACTGATGATCTAGAGCTAAGGTTTTTTCATATTTTAAAGACTTTTTAAATGCAAATCATAAAAATATTAGCAGTAAAAACTAGACCATATTGATTGTCCATCGTCACTACTTTGTTATCGGTCTTTATAAACTACACAATTGGTCAAATACTCAAGCAGTATTTATTTGAATCACAGCAATTACTAGAATGAAATCATATGGCGAGTCACGAAACACACTTATTTACCTACAAAGAGAGCTACATTATACTATTGATGTCTATTAATAAGTATCCTTGAAAAGGTCAAAACTGTTATCACAAATGTGTACTAATTTTAATAATAATCAAGATGATATTTTAGTCAATTTATAACATTTACATAATCTATGCTATCATTAGTAGAATACCTGAATGTTTTGGATTTCTTCAAATGAAAACAAAACGGGTTAATCTTTTTCCACTTCTTGTGACTAATGGGTTATTACAAACATGAGTTGCACTAATCAAAATAAAGCTTAGCTTAGCTTGATAACCAAGATTATAAAAATAGATATTTGTAAATATTAAAAAGTTAAAAACAAAATTGTTTTTGTGGTAAATTTGAAAAAGAATACAGATAGTACAGATCATGAATAGTTTTTGTTTGTAAAAAACAAATCAGACACGTTAATGCATCAAAATTGACTGTAGTCAGTTATTGCAAATGAGTTTTAATGTTATATTCTTGTGAATTGATAATACTAATACAGTTTAAGGTTCCAGAACATTTTTTTGAGACGATAGAAGCACGAATTGGGGAAAAAATTATGTATGATTTAGATAAACGATGTTCGTAATAATCGACGATTATACTTCGCAACATAGTATTCTCGAACTTTGATTAACATCATATTAAATTATACGCATAATCTGTGCAGTCATTGTTCATTTAAAATTAGATATAGACCTAAAATTACAGGATAAAAGGTAAAAAAGTAGACACTGTACGAAAATGATGACATCTGAAAATTGCCACCTAGGCAGTCACCTGAGTGTCTAAATAAGCCATGATTCTCAATACATAATCAACAAAAATTAAAAGAGGGTAAAATAATGTTATGATAAGTATATTTTTTTATATTTACCTTACAAATATCTCGTACAGTCATCACAAAAGTAACACATATAGCTTCTACCCACTTCAAAACATGATCGGTCAGCAGCCGTGAAACATAGACTAGATAGATTATTGCAATGAGAAAATTACTTGACAGATCTAATACAAACACGTTCCAATGTGCAATTCGCAATATAAGATTTACTCGATATGTAAATGTCGGAATGACAATAAAATAATGTAACATTGGGTTTTGGCAGCGATTTCGTCGTAAACTTTGTTTTTCACAGTGAATGTGCTATGCTATGTTTTAATCTAGGTCGTAAACTATGAGTTCGTAAAATTTTATTCAAATCTAGCTACCTATCAAACTGTTTATTCATTCGAAAAAACTTAAGAAGCATGTTTTATAAGGATGGACATAAAATGTTCAATTAATCCTGACTTCACTTAACTGATTACCCTAAAGACAACTAAATGTAATTATATTGTATTTTTGTAGAATAGAAATGTTCTCGATTTATTGAGTTTAGTGTGATATTTGAATAAGCAAATTTTTATTTTACCACACGTTAATATACCTAATTTATGAGACTTTGTAAGGATTGTAATTTGACAAGGATTAAATTCAGGAGCAAATAATTCAATTTGTTTATGGATCAGTTGTCAATATCATATGTGAGTGGTCAAGAGTTGTCAAACATTTGACACTGTTTAATTTCTTGTTGTTGCTTTAAGTGGAGTGCAGCTAACATGTACCATAGCAGAAACCTGGATCGATAACTTTTATATCTAGCCGGTGGCGATTTTTCCTACCACAATACGAGTGCAGGTCGTTAAAAAAAATGGATTTAAAAATATTAGTGTTTTTGCTGACTTTTTCGGCTGCACAAGTAAGTAAATACTATTCCTGTCTGTGATTCGAACCAATTAATATTATTTCTCTTAGTTTTGTTTATTGATTTATAAGTAGACAATGACGTTGGTCTCATTGAGAGATCGTTTTTTAAAGTTTGGTTCTCAACAAAAAAAATATTTTAGCTGTTGGTGTATTATTTCTTCTGTACTCTAGAGCTGATCTATTACTACTTCTGTACTGTAGATACGATCCTCCACAACAGTTAATCTTCATACCTATAAATTTAGTTTTAATTTTAGTATAATGATAGTCCATAAAAAAATTACACATTGCATTTGCACCCTACCATTTCTACGTGATGATGATCAGATCCAGTCTATTTAATAAGTCATTTCAGCGCGCTAGCTATTACATAATATGATAATACGCCTTTCATTCAAATCCTTTATATTAAATAAAAATATACATAAACAATGAAATGAAACATTACTAATGTCAAGTATTTAGAACTGGGGATGGACTAAAATCACAATCACCTGTTTTAACGCTAGCAGCAGACTTAGAAAAGCTAAAAAAAATATCGTAATCTTTGATAAAAAGAATTTTGATTCATTGTGATGGCATTATTCTTTGTCCAGCCAAATCGGAATCACAGGTGTAAACGCAGTGACTAAAACAATCATTCAATGATATGATTATGATTTAAAGGTAGCAATAAATTCTGTTCATAATCATGGTTGAGAGTCATGGTCAAATTATTTTACTTTTCTTTCTATAAGGAAAACAACTACCGCACTAGGAATAATACATCCTATATCACAGAGGATTTTACAAACATACAACTATTTGTGGATTACACATAGTTTTGCTCCATGTAGGTATTGAACCCACAGCACTCAGCGCTGTAGGAAGTAGCGAGGCGACTCTAGCAACAAGTACACCACCCATGCAGTTTAGGGAACCCATCATTATCATTTTCTCATCCATGGGACACTGCTGTTATCATAGCATAGGACATACTGCTGATAGCCTTACGGATACACAGATTGAAGGATTAATAGAATATCTTCAAGATTTAATGATAAGATTGTAATGATTAATTGATTTGGCACTGCTCACTTTTGTTATTTGATTATTTTTAAGGCTGGCAATGCGCTTGTGATTCTTGAGTTGCAGGCGTTCATGGGTGGCGGTAGTCGCTTCCTATCAGGTTCCCTAGATTCAGTCTTTAGACCATCTTTACAAGGTCATCTGACTTACAAAAATATCTGAAAAGATTTACTTGCAGAAATAAATATAATTTATCATCTTAGAATTCCTTTTCGATAGCAAATAAGGGACCCATACAACATGCAGAGAGAGAAGATGGGGCTTCATACCATGCTTGGTCATAGGGGGATGTTTTTGTCATGTAGTCAATATGAAACTTAAGTTGACCTAGCCTTAAGTAAAGGAAGCCTATACTAAATTGGCCCTCTTTTGATTAAAAAAGTCAAATATTCTCATTGCGCTACCCAAACAGCTGGAAAGCCTTTCTTTCAGGTCGAACATTCGGCCAGGACCCTTTTGGCACAGTCTCTTCAATACTCTCTTATGACTCACATCCACCACTTGCAATGATATTTTTGACCATCACTCTAGGGTATTACTCACTTGTCTCAGAGTATTACTTATGTTTGGATCAGCTTTTTATTTCATTACAGTTACATTACACTATGAGTAATGTCCTGTCTGGTCCCAAACTAGGCAAAGCCTGTACTATGGTAAAGAATCTGTAGTTGAACCATTTATGTTTGCTACACAAAGATACATAACACATACACGGATACAAGGCACAAAACCAGATACAAAAACATGTTGCTAATTTTATTAAACATTAAATATTCAAATATTATATACTTCTTAATAATTAATACATACTATAATCAAATTACACCTAGACACAAACAAACAATCATCATCTGCCTACCCTTATCAAAATTTTATTTGGGGTTGGCGCACTACCATTGTACTCTATCATGATGATCATCTCAGAGTTTACTCCCTTCCTAACACCTAGAACATAGTTCATCCACCTTGCTTCCCTGTTTTAAAGGGTGTATGCCTATTTTACTTCATTTTGTCTCCCGCAAGGAGAGAAGTGGATTTACTGTATTTCCAGCTCCTCCAATTTTCTTCTGATTAATTTCGTTGCGGGTTCCAAGACAGTTTAATTTCTTCTTGGGACTTTCCGAGTGTCATAACTCGATGTGTTCGTGGATACTGGTGTACAGGAGTTACAGTGGTGGGCGTGTGGGTAGGATTAGTCCCAAAAAAAGTCTATCCACCTATTCTTTGTTCTTCCTCTTCTCTTGTACCCTTCAACTCCCATACCTAAAACTTTCTTCGCCACATTTTCCTCATCCCTTCACCGTGACATGTCCATAACAAGATAACCTATTACTCCTTAACTTTTCATCCAGTGGCGCTACTTTCAGACTCCCACGTATATAGTCATTCCTAACCTTGTCCATCCGAGTCACACCACACATCCATCTCAGACACTGAACAAATGTATAATATAAATATATACTGGCAACAATTATGTTACTAAAAAAAACATATTATTTGCCACTGTAAACTGTGACAGTTTTTTTTGAAATTGGAACTGTCAAAAACTTAAAAAGAAAAATTCAAAGACAATAATAACTTTTACAATTGACAGGGACAGTTTTATGAAGACAAAAGGTGCCGTTGTATTTGCCCCAGTCCTGCTGCATTACTCAACAGTAGTCTTAGTGATAGGAAGGTGTATACCAGCAATGTACCCCCCAACAAGTGGTGAGTTTAACATACTTTATATTATTATCTAAATATTTTGTGTTAAGAGGGATACTACGGCATCATAGAAAACCGGTGTCTTTTGTTACTTTTCACCAAGTGAATGAGGTAACTCGAGGCTCAACTCCTCCACCTTCATTTCTGCGGGAGGGGGGGACAATAAGGGGGGTACTAAGAATATTCTCTCAGAAAACTAAATGGTTATTTATCTGAAGGGATATAGCTCACACAAACATAAACATCATGGTAGTCATGATAAAATACACGAAAAATACTAGACTTGTACCATGACTAGTGAAAAAAAAGTTATGTTAAATACAACTTAATGCACTTATCGGCGGACTTAATGCCCGGGGAAATCTTCACCACCCAACCTTACATCACTAGTATTATCATCAGCCTATCGCTGTCCACTACTGGACAAAGCATTCTTCCATTGCACGCCACTTAGGTAGTATACTGGACCGCTAATTAGCTTTATTTAGCTGTTTCTACATAATTTTGTAACTTAATAGTTGATATTTTTTAGCTTCTTAATATTCTGATTGAGTATGTACACCTACATCTACACATAGACATAATAGGCTTGGCTCATAAACATAAGCAGACAGGCTCTTGGACTACAACATAACTGCAATGCAGTAAGCCTATCGTCGTGTAGAATGTAATAGCAAATCGGTCCACTGGATATTAAATATACAGGCTGACATGGGGTCGACCCTATACATTACTTTTTACAAAACGGTTCGATCAAATTATAGGTCGTTTATAAAGCCGGCCACATACGCTCCGGTTACAAAGCGTGTATTATCGAGTTTACTCCTTAAGAATCGATATTCATATAAGGCGCTCGGTATGAAAAGAAATATAACGAGTAAAATTTAGTGATCGAATAACCTCGTTACGTTTTTTAGTTCTAAATGTAAGTTATAGATGGCAGTTCAACTATTTACGTGGTTGTAATAATTTTTTGTAAGTTTGTTATTAGTTCTATTATTGCAATTTATTTTAGTTTAGTGAGTAGTCCACTACAAAATTAAAATTGTTTTAAAGCGGAAATAACCCCAAAATAAAAGGCAATTAATACGTGACTTCTAATTATTTAACTAACATTTACATAGTTGGCGCTGATCACTAAATTCGTGTGCAGTCTACGTACACAGGGTATACGTTCTTCAGGAGTAAATTCGATCGTTTTAGTTTTACGCTGCGATCTACTTGCGCAGGCATACCTGCACAAGTAAACCGTAGCGTGTGGAGCCACCTTAAGGATCCTGTGAGTAGGCGACCTGCTACGGGTAGGTCACAAAAGACATATACTGACCAGATCGGTGGTATACTGGCGAACTTGTATGAAAGGTGGCATGTAGAAGAGACTTCGCCTCTGTCAGGATCATTGCAAATGGCGTTCTATCGGCTCCGCTCATCCCGGACGAGAATAAGGCATGAGTGTATGAATTTGATGTATAGAAAAACTCATTTTCAGTTCAACTGAAAGTGATAGAGTATTTATCGCCTCAGAATGCCATAACTGCGAAAAACCTTCCAACCACCTACACAATTATCATATTACATACACTCTGTGAGAAGATGTGAAAATATTGCAGTACTATGTTTTCTGTGAGCCTGTGGTATCACTCAGGGTGTTCTTAAACATGGCATCTTCCGCGATAAAAGTTTTTAATACAGTGAAGTTATAATACAAAGCTATAAGCAATGAATTATTTTTAACCGACTTAAAAAAGGAGTTGGTTATCAATTCGGATGTTTTTTTTTTAAGTATATTCGGGCATGACTCCGTCATATATAGACGGATTTTCATAATTATTTTTTGTTCGAAAGAGGTTTATGCCGAAATGGTCCCATCTAAATGTCATATAGATCTGACGATGAGGTTCGGCGACAGATAACGGAACTCTTCAAAATATAACAGGAAATCAACCACGATTGCTGCTAGGCTTTAGTGTTCTTTGAAGACAGTTCAACTTTTTTTAATAATTTTTTACTAAGTTAGAAGGTTCGGACTGCCCGAGAACAGCCACGTCGGGCACCCTGAATTGTGACCCTGATCTGCTCGCTAATACTCACACTCCTCAGTTCATCCTTATAACCCTATTCCTTTCCCACTTTTGACATTGCTTCTAACCTATCTTTTCCTTCCATATTAGAATCCTAATTTATCTATCCTTAAATCCCAAACCACGTCAGGGTTGAATTAGTCTGAATATTTTATCTGTGCTCTAGAATCCACAGTACAAGATATGCCTTAATTAGGGTTTAGTCTAGCTATGTGTGAATATAGTTTGGCTGTGGTTGAGTTTATTGTAGAACCAAACATTGCTGTTCACAGCAATTGCGAGGGCGTTATTCTGCAGATCGTGGGCGATGAACTGAAGGGCCATGAACAAGAGTTTTGTCCCCGCTGTGAGTGTAAATATGAAACCCGAAATACAACTATTATCATGGTAAGTATTGAGGTTGAGTAAAGTACACTAGGGCCTAGTGTGATTATTTCACATTAACCCGCCATCGACAGCGAGCGTGTTTAGCGTTGTGATTGGTGAATATTTCAGTGCTGGCCAATTGTAAACGCGGTCACCGTGACGATCGAGTAGATGTGAAATCACACTAGGCCCTCTGTTATTACAGGTAGTAGGCATCCGTTTGTATGTCAATATTAAAACCAATGTATTCCTATTATCATATGGAAAAGTAAGATTTGTAGAGATTTAGATAATAATAAGCGAGTTGTAACTGTTTTTTTTACGTGTGGAAACCCTCACGCATTTTTGAACTGAAGATAGAAATGAAAAACAAAATTGGTATGCTGTCTTTTCAGGTAGTAGTCATTATGATGCTCTGGGTGCTGACGATGCTCTCCGGTTATATGGGATTCCTTATGTGTTTGGACCCCTTGATCAATAAGAGGAAGGTCAAATTCCACCAGGAAGCTGGCACGGGCACCGAAGAGGTAAGGAACACTATAGAGTAGATTCCATAAGAGTTCTCTAAATGAGCGCAAAAAGACTTTTTATATTGTAAAATAAACTTATATAACCTCTAGTTTTACGGGCCTGTTGGTCGAGTGGTTAGTGGAGTAGCCAGAGGTCGTGGGTTCGATTCCCACCCAGCACGAATATTGTGTGATGAGCACGGTCATTTGTTCTGAGTCTGGGTGTAATTTACCTATAATATGTATATATATATATGTATTTAAAAATATTTAAGTATGTTTATCAGCAGTCTGGTTGCCATAGTACAGGCTCTGTCTATGTGTGAGATGTGCGAGATATTATTTTTAGAGGGCAAACGAGCAGATGGGTCCCCTGATGGTAAGTGACTACCGCCGCCAATAGACGCCTGCAACCAAAGCGTCACAAATGTGGTACCGCCTTTAGAGCTTCTCTTCTTCTTCCTCAATCAGGGGAAAGGGAGATTTGGGCTCCGCTCACTCACTCGATGAAAAGCGACGAAAGAGATGCTCAACAACAGTCATCTGTGAGGCCGTGCTCGTATTATCACTCCGGTCGACCGGCCCATTTGTACTAAAGCATGACTCTCCCACAGTTCCAAGACACCGTCCATCGGAAACCCTGTGGGGTGTGCACAGTGGGGGCCAAATCCATAAAAGCTGGGCACAAATCTAAAAATCAAGTAAATGTTCCGAAATGTCTTTCTCGGGGGTTTTCGTGGTCGCTGTTTACAAATTTGATGTCAAATTCACAAAAAATTGCCCCCTTCACCCTTAATTACCCATTTCCTAAAGTAATCAAGTTACATATTAAATTCAAGGTTTTTGGGATTGCTGATTAAGAATCCATAATTAAAATTAAAGATCTAGTTAATAAGTGGCGAATCTAATACATCAACAGCCTTTAATAGTCCACTGCTGGACATAAGCCTCTCCTTAGAAAGGAGGTTTTGGTCTACTATACCACGCTGGCCAGACGGGTTGGTATAGGGTTTGTCTCAAGTTTTCCTTCTCTCTGCAGTGTTGTTGTTCTGCGTAGTTTTCTTCCTTAGTCGTTCTCTTAGTCTTTCTTCTTAGTTAAGGCGTTCTTTCATATCTCAGCACTCGGGTTTCCAATACTAGACTTAATTTTACTAATAAATGAAAAGAGCAGTCCAGATAAAAAAAAAATAGTAGCTGATATTTATGTTACAACCTCCAACAGGTTTAATGACCGAAAACAAAAAACAAAACGACAGTGCATCGTAACTTTTTAGTAAAATATTTTTTTTTCGATTTTCTGGACTAAAAAATCTACACATCCACTGCTTTCTTCTTATTTGCGGTTTGATATAAATGTTATCTTACATATCAATTAATTTTCTACTTACCTTCAGAAGTCGATTCCATTTTGCAGAATAGAATTTAGTCGTTTTGACAAAATTCTATGCCTCCTCACATGCGAGCGTTTTCTTGACGATTCCACTGTACTAACTACGCGCTAGAGGGTCACGTTTGAACTGGATTCCAGAAACAGATACGGCAAAGGCAACCTGAAGAATAGTGGTTTTGGACTCTAGAGACATCTTTTAAGCCAACTTTACAGAAAGATATCCCTCAAAAAACGTTTTTCTATTTTTGGGCACTTTTTGGGATTTGGCCCCACTGTGGGGCGATACGACTGGGCTTCCACACGCGGCTATAAAAAGATTGGATTTGTCCATAGTCTAAAAGTTTGTAAAAAAATCGGTTGTCTGTAAAGTCGCTTTACTGACGATAGTTGAACGTGACAACGTCATAAGAAAATACTAATGGAATGGTTGCATTTTTCAAAAGAAAATTTAAATTTTATTTGTTAGACAGATGTCGAAAGCTGCCGAACGCGGAGGCCGATTGTGCCTCTTTTTCGCTCGTTCCGCGCTCTCGCTTGCACTTCAAGCCTTAAATGGAACGCCTCAGAGCGAGGTAACGCCGCATGAGTCATGTTTTTTCGTGCGTGCAGCCGGCTCCATCGAATTATAAGACGTTGTCACGTCAAAATCCTCTTGTCCCCGAAATCCCACAACTATTAGATCGCAAGTCCGACACCTTAGCCATCGACACTCAAAATATTTGAGAACTTAAAATATTGCCTCTATCCTGTCCTCAGAAAAAAGTCTTATTTTGAAGTACATTTAATTATTTGTTTACAGGCACGTACATTGCTGTTACAAGACGCAGATGACTGACTGTATCTCGAAGGAATTGTTTAAGGTGACGACATGGCTCAAGCTACTTCACTAAATTAATACGCACTGAAAATCGTTTTGAGTTTCAAGGACACAGTGTTCTAGCATTTTGTTGTATGTAAAAGATTTTAAATTAACTTAAACGTCGAGATATGTTTTTTATATTTCGTCGGGTTAATCTTCTATCTAGTTAAGCCAATTAAGACTAGAGCTGAGACCGCCTAATCTGGTGCACTTATGACTAAACAGTTTATACTTGGAACCGAGTGCAGGAATGGTTCAATCCAAAATGTCAGTACAGTGGATGTTTGAGGGGGAGTTTATAAAACAGAAAATGTACAGCAACAATAATGTACAAAGAAATTTCAAAATGGTGGTGTCAAAGTATTGTTGCTAAGGTATTAAATATTGCATTGTTTCTGCACATCACGGTTCGCTTATAACTGTCAACCTATACATTTGTCAACACTTCGTTGTTTTGTCCACAGTATCTATGTTAATGTGATTGAAACAAATCTTTCAATTTATTATGTTTAAGTATTTTCGGCATTTTTGGAAGTCAATTACAGTCTTTCTTAAATAGATTTAATATAAACATACACGCATTTATTCAAATAGTACATGTTATTTATATAACCATAATATAGGCAAAATTACATATTAAAGATTTCAATGTCAATTGCTCGCGGCTCGAAGGCCCATGTAATATGGGTTATCCACCTTTTGGAGTATGTAGGTACGTGTATGTCGGATGAATACACATCTATGTATCCAGCCGTACTGATATTAGTGAGCGAAGTACTCATGGCTTAGGATTGATAGTGTTTTAATACTAGTAAACATAAGGCACAAGTTAGCAATTCTCTGAACAAATCTTAGCTACGCACCATCATTTAAATATTTAGTTTAGTTATGTCAGACTTTTTTCTTAAGCATTTCGAGTTTAACCAATAGTTCCAAAACCCAATAAAAATAAAGTGAACAAAATAAATTATAATAAGCTTTAAAATATATATAACATAATTAAAAACTATATATATTTAAAAAAATATGTATTTTTATTAAAATATATGTATTGCAGACAGGGGTAGTCTCATATAAGAGGCCCCTCAAAGTATTGCACCTGTTAGGGTTCTTGATGTTCCAAATGTCAGATACCAGCCAGTGTTCATATTATAACGAACGTTGTTTAAAATATTGAAAAAAAGAACTATTTAGGGTTGCGAAGTTTATAAAGTCTACTAACTGTGGCCCAAAGTTGAATGTAAATTTATTGACGAGAAGAAGACGAGGACCCATACAATATATACAAGACGTACAAAGTGCGCAAATAAATTAAAGCATTAGTTTAATTTCAGTGATTGTTTCCAATTGGATCAACAAATTTAAAAAAGCCACAATCTTTTTATGGCCGGGCGCCATAAAAAAATATGGGATAAGATTTTTCTTTGATCAAAAGTTAAATTCGGATAGAGCAAGAGGGTGTAAGAGTCTTGGATGGGGAAGCGACTGAGACTGCAGCAGTTTGAAGAGGCCAGGATCTCTTACACGTGTGTCCGGGGCATTAATTGGCTGAAGAAATAAAAAAAATAAAAAATCACCTTGTAGGTGTTCAACGATGTTGCGAGATTAAAAATATCTTATAATTTACTTTTACCATTTGTAAGTTTTCATACACGCTCTTAGTTTAAATTGTTAGGTCTTTGATTCAAAGTATTATAATAATTGTTTTTCATGCTTTTTGCTGTTATTTTGTATGTATAAAATCGTGTTGCTCAAAAATGATCTAATCCACAGTAAGTAAAATTTTACTATAAAAAAAAAAAACTTGTATCTATGATCTTTGTAGAAAAGCTTAATTATAATGATTAAAATTCCTTTTTTCATTGCAACTATTAGTACTAACGCAATTTTTTTGTTATCTCAATATGAATACAGATAATTTTAGACACTCATTATTGATTTCACTATTTTGTGGATTAAATCGTTTATGAACGACGCGGTTTACTCGATATTATATTAAGACCATTTCTAGATTGTACTTTGTTGAGACAATATCAATACTTTTTACTTTTTTTACCGACCTTAAAAGACTAGGTCTCAATTTGGCTGTATTTTTTAAATTTGTTTCCTTAGAACTCCGTCATTTAAGAACTGATTTTAAAAATTCTTTTGTCATTTGGAAATTTGGAAGTTCTCTTCCATCTTATTCAAATTTGAAGACAATTTTAACCCACATTGCCACCGGTAAGTGGTATCCGAGGGGATTACCGCACAGAAAAAAAAAGGGTCACAATTAAATACTGAAGAATACAGTTTAATACAATTCATCATAATGTAAATTATTATGATTTTTTATATGCAAAACTCTTCTTACCATTAAAAAAAACTCTGTACAGTCTATTACTGCTAGTTTTATTTTTATAAACGAATTAAAACGATGCCATTTTTTGTTTTTGTACATTTTAGGTAGGAAACTGAATTTATACATTAAAAAAAAAATTTGATTACATTGCAATGTTATAAGTGTTATATTTACATATATTTTATTGTACATCTTACAGCAAACCATAATTCATATACATATTAATGTATTTTTGTTTAGTTAAGGAACAACATTTTATAGTTGAAAGATCATATTTTTAACTTTATTTTTGTTACGATATATTGTTTTTTTGTTTAATTGTTTAAGTCTAGACGAAAACATATAAGCACTTTTCTTGTAGATTTGTAATTCGAATAAATTTATGACATCATTGTAGTTCATTTTATTTGTTAACATCCATAGTTAAGAGAACAGACGTTAAATGTTTTTCATAATCTTTCTGCTAAGACTTCTTAGATACTAAACGTCTATAAACTCCTACCATGGCCTTGCTGGCTAATCTAATAAATCTGTAAAGTATCTACATTAAAGTATCCACTTCATGGCAACAGTCTTGCAATTTACGCTTTTTTTTTCCGCCGAGCTAGCAAACTAAGGTTGGCTTAGTGATATGGCTGAACTGAGAACGCGGAGAGCGCGGCTATTTCAAAGTTTAGTAGAAAAAACTGTGCCCCTTACGACTTCTACATATAGAACTAAAACATACTACAGCGCCATCTAACGAAGTAGCACCGACCTACGGAGTAACTGCTAATCCTGTATCGCGATATGAAAAATTCTCACGACTATTAGCATATACACAACTTTCTAACCTTAACCGTTGGGCAACAGTAAGCCAGGCAACCTCGCCTTGTCGGAGGATCCTCCTTTCGCGTTGGAGAGACATGACACCGTTACTCCAATATGTATATACTGAAATAGTGCAGGGTCAGCTTTTCTTCTTCTTCTTTCTCTTTCTTCGTCTTCGGTAATAATATATATGCCATTGCCATTGCCATTGGAGGTTATAGACAGAGCATTGGACAGACACAATTAGCCTCAATATGCTTTTAAACAAGTTAAGAGATATAGGAATATCACGAGCAGCACATAAAATTCATAGGTCGTACTTAGAAAACCGGAAACAAGTAGTCAAAAATGAAAACCATGCAAGTTTACCTGCTAAACTAACATACGGAATTCTTCAAGGATCGATTCTCGGCCTCCTGTTGTTTTTAATTTATATTAATAATATAAACAATGTTGTGTGATAGCTTGTTTAAAAAGAGTTTAGAAGATTACATTAGCAAAAAGCACTGACACCAATAAAATTGTCTTCATATCTTTAGTTTTTATATTACTGTATAGTGTATTGTGATCACAGAGATAGGTACTTAACTAATTTATTTTGTTATTACATTTTCTCATTATATAAGTGAACTGTATTGTTCTTTTTTCTGAGAAATAAATGTCTTTAAACCGATATTTAGGAGTAGAACCGTGATCAGGAAACCTAGATCTTGCAGAGATCTTTGTATCACCAGGATAACCATTTCAAAGTGACACGCAAGCGTTGAAAAAGAGTAAATATGTGGATTTACAAAGAACTTATGGGAAGTGCGGGGGGGGGGGGGGGCGACTCAAAGGAAGCTAAGTACTTATGACTCTGAGTTGCAGGTGCAGGTGAGTCACCTGCTGGTTGCCCTCCCCCCATACCATAAAAAGCAATAACGTTTATTAGTTATACATTACTTATTGTTGCACTAGTTCTTGTCGATTTTGCTCACGTTATGTCGATTTATCATCAGCCTATCGCCGTCCACTGCTGAACGAAAGCCTCCACCAAGGAGCGCCAACTATCCCTCTTAGTCAGTCCGCATTCGATTCTACTGTCAATTGTGTCAATATTTTTTTCCGGTACAAGAATTCCATGTGGTGTTACACAGTCTATTTCTGTGCAAATTTCATCCAGACCCATTCAGTCGTTCTGGTGTAATAGATCACAAATATCCATCCATTTTGTTGCGGGTTCTAAGACAGTTTAATTTCTTCCTGGGACTTCCCGAGTGTCATAACTCGGTGTGTTCGTGGGTCACTGCTGTAGATCCTGGTGTACAGGAGTTACAGTGGTGGGCGTGTGGGTGGGATTAGTCCCCGTAAATATCCATCCATCCAGTCTCGCATTTACAATAGTAATAAGATCTAAATATCTACTAATTCAAAGTTCTAAATATTTTCGATTTGTTGTATGTTCTATGCTTATTGCAGATCCAATTGATCAATTTAATTAAACGATATATATAGACTAGTAGAATATGGTAGATTCCTATTCCTAAATTTAACATTTTAAAGTACAGTCTGAATTGTCCTCCATTGTCAATTGACTTTTTATATCCTCAAATCAACATTAAATATAAAAGTTTTGACAATAGCTAGGATATGACGTCACATCATTTTGGCATTAATTTAAGATACTAATGTGACTTGACAGTCATCTACCCATAAGGCAGTAGTAGTGGAGTAGGGTCAGGCAGTCGTGCTCATCCGACCAGATCAGAGTTTATGTTGCGATTAGCCCGCACTGAAATCTTAACCATTTGCCATGCCCCTTTTTCCCACTGGGCACTTTGGCACGTGCCCAGGGCCAGGGCGATATCCCCCTAATACCCGTCAGTTCACCAATCAATAATGTATATTTGTTACTGAAAGCATATTTGTAAAAAGCCAGCAAAAAATGACTGACTACATATTTTGTCTATTCTAACAAAATTGTGCTCAATCAAGGTCGTGGGCCCCATTATCCTAATGTGCCTTTTTTTTTCCCTTCAGAATTCCCCTCGGATACCACCTCGGATATCGGTGGCATGTCGGACACGAACCGACTAAAACCGCACGCCGTCTCGGGTACTAATATCCGGGGAACCAGGTATACCCTAGAAAGGAAGTCCCTGGTGCTATCCTAATGTGCCTTCGCGGCACCGTGCGACTAACGTGTGACTTCATGTGCTAACAATTTAAATATTGTTTTCTGTTTTTTCTGCGACTAGTTTCCGGCTTGCGGGCGGCTAAAGGTTGTGTATAGTGTTTTAAAGAAAGTCAGTAAGTTTTTATTGTTTTTAAACAGTAATATAGTGCTGAATTATTTTATTACGACTATTGGTGAGTAAATTTATTTTCTTTCTAAAAGTGGGTAGGAGGTATCCTTTGTTTATATTGATTTTTCTCTGCGTGTTATTTATTTTTAAGCCTGTTCCTTTTGAAATTGTTGTTTGGTGGTCATTTATTTT